TGCTCTCACTGGGCAGGCCCCCAGTCATCAGTGTCTCTCCTGCCCAGGGTTCAATTTATCTGGAGGCCATTAAGGAACCTGCCTGATGATTATCTCTTGGCTGCAACGTGGTTTTATCTCTAGGCTTCGATTCTAAATGGGACTAATGACCACTTGAGATTCAAATTCTGCACCACCCGCCCAGCACCTTCTTGATGAACAGAAGGGAAATCCCTCAGAGCTTGGTTCACTGCTCCCATCTCAGCAAATGCTCCCCCCCCCCAACTCCAGGGCAAGTTAGAGACCTGGGAATCAGTGCCAATGTCTCCCTCTGGATCAACGTCCTATTTCAAGTATTCACTGAGTCCTATCAATTTTGGATCCGAAATGTAATTTGGACCCTGCCGTCCTGGTGACTCCCACTTCCCCAGTCTAAGGCACATAGACTATTGCAATATCCTCTGAAACGCTCCCATTTTGTTCGCTCCTGCCTTCCATTCTGTTGCCCACACTGCAGCTAGAGTAGCCTTTTTAAAATGTTAATCTGAATCCACCCACCCACCTACGCCTACACACATTCCCACTCCTGCCCTGAATCATTCAGCGACACTTCCTGTCTTTCCCCATCACTCTCTCTACTTCAGACTTTTTCTGTTCTCAAAAGAACAGACTTTTTCTGTTCCCTCCACCCCAGGGCCTTTGCACATGTCGTCCCCTCAGCCTTGTGTTCTCACTATCCCTTTTGGCTTCGGTAGCGCCATTTGGCCTTGGGGGAAGTCTTCCCTGACCACTTCTCATCCAACCTCAGTCTAGGTCTACATTATTCCACATTCCTACAGCAGCATTTCTCTCTTTTCTCGCTCCCCTCTCAGCCCACATCCGGATTTGGGCATTGCTTGTTTGTTGAAACCCTTCTTCCTCGTGAGACTATAAGCACCACAGGTGGAAACAACGTGTCTATTTTGGCTCACCATTACATCCCTAAGGCTTTGTATATTGCCTGGAACATAGTAGGCACTTTATATGCACATGTTGAATGACTGAATGAGCTCATACAATCCTCCCAACAAGCCTGTCCTCTGCCCTGACCCCTTACAGCACCTGATCTCATGGCGTTATAAGATAGGAAGCAGTAGACTTTGAAAGACATAAAGGGCTGTGGAGCCTGACTGATTGGACCAAATCCCCCCCTCTGCCACTTGCCAGATGTGGAACATTGGGCACATTCCTTAACATCTAGGTGCTTTTGTTTCCTCTTCTGTAAAATGTCTCATGGGATGGGTGTAAGGATCAAATAAGTGAGCTTCTATAACATGCTTTTATAAGAGCTTGGCACATAGCGAATGCCCCATTGATCTTAGTTATTATTAATATTATTAACACAAGGAGCATAGATTCTGGGAGCACATGAATCTGGTTTTCTCTTATATTTGCAAATCACTCCCTGTGTGACTCTGGACAAGTCATGTCGCACGCCTGAGCCTTGGTTTGTCTATCTGCTAAACTGGGATCTCAAGGCCTACTTCAGAGAGAGTCGTCACGAGGGCCTGATAGAATGAGATATGAAGCACATAGACCAGTTCCCCGTGGCTCCCTTCCTGACGGGCTGGATTGGTCCCTGTTGCCTTTTAGACAAGAAGCTTCCTGAAGATAGGCTTCACACCTACCTTATTCACGGCTATTTTCTCCAGCCCCTCCGTCCCTGGTAATTGTAGGTGTTCAAGAAATAGTTCTTTACGGAATGACAGGAACCATGCTTTGTTCATCTTCGTGTCCAACCCGAGACTAGTGAAATACCTAGCATCTAATTTCAATAAATGTTTGTTGTTAGAATGGATTCTTTAAAGGGCTATTTAGCTGTTACCAGCCCCATTTGAGTTTCTACATTAAACTGAGAAAGATACTTGTTAACCTATCTTAACTCTCTCTAGCCTTAGTCTTCTTATCTATAAAATGAGGCTAGCAATAAAATGCACCACCTAAGCGTGTTCTGAAAAGTAAGTGAAGTAATATGCATTGAGAATACAGAGAATGTTAGTTCATTATTATTCCCTTCCCCGAGGCTCAGTTTCGTCCTCTGTGGAATGGGCATCCACTCACTCATTTATCCATTGGTTACTCAACAAACACAGCACACACGTGCAAGGCATTGTAATTAAGACCTAGGGCAGTTAGAGAGGTGAACAAGCCATGGCCCCTGTCGTGAGGAAGTATCTGCCGTGCGACAACGTATCAATAGCAGAACCGAGTGACGAAATGACGAAAGAGTCATGATGTGTGTGAGGTCCACGGAGGCTGGGATGGGGACCTGCAGGGTTTCAGTGAGCTCTCTAGGGAGAGTGTAAAAGGTCACCAACTCAGTGTAACCACCAACACGACATCAATCTGAGATGGAGTGGTCCTCTCTGTGCCCTGGGTTTTGTACCCTGGATCTGTGGAATGTGCTGGTTTTGTTGCAGCCCCACTTTCTACCCTGGCCCACCAACGTGTGAGAGGTGGAACCAGGTTATCGCAATCCCACTGAGTATCCAGTTCAAACAGACATACCCTCCTAAGACTCAGCCTTGCTTCCCCTGACCCGTCCCCCCTCCCCCCCACCCCCCCACCGCCTGCCCCTGGATTCTACCTCCTCAGGGGACTGAACAGTGATTCCCCTTACACTCTCAACGCTGAGCTCCTGGTTCTCCAAAGACAAGCCCGCTTCTTCCCGAGATGGGACCCAGTGAGGGGATGCTTGGGCACTGGAAATGGGAACAGGCCAGGCCAGGTGTCTGGGCTCCTGAAGCTAAGTGGATCACATGTTTGTCTCTGATGCTCACAGCTGGTTCCAGGGAGCTGACTCCTGCCAGTCAAACTCATGAGGGATTGAAACATCCGAATTAGAATTTTACATTTAATCTAGGTATAATTTGTGGCATTTGGGTTGGGGGGACTATTCATCTCCAGTGACCAACATATATGCACCTGTTACCCAGAGCAGTCTTTTACTTTCAATGGAAAGAAATTTAAATGCCGAGGGTATTTAAATATCAGGGGAGGGTCTGCTGTCAGTGGCCTGCCCGAGGTAGAAGGATGTCTGAGCCTCAGTGGCCCATCCTAGCAGGCCTCAGGGAAGAAGCAAGATTTACGAGGTGAGAGCCCGCCTGGGCCGCTTCTTCCATCAGTAAAGGCCTCCCTGCAGTATTTTCTGTCTCGTCAATGCTGCATTTCATTTTAAATTGCAGCTGAAAGCAGATATTTTCCCTCTTGCCTATTACACCTCTTAATTTGTCTCTCCCTCTGCTGTTATTTGTCTCTATAAAGTGTTTTGCATGAAAGACCCACACAGCACAATGTTGCTTTGCCCTGGGTTGAGTTTAACAGGAAGGAAAGCACAGAGAGACTCAAGTCCAAGGAGGAAGGTGTGAGGGCCCTCGGGTCGAGACACACGTGTCTGGGAATATATGCCTGGCAGCGTGTACAGGTGCATGGTTTGGGGCCTGCCTGCTGTGAGTCAGTGGATATGTGTGTGCACACGTCAATATTAGTACTAATATGTATGGATGTCTATCTTTGCTCTGGTATAATCACTTGGTATTCATACCTAAATTAAATGTGTGCTTGTGTGCGAATACTCATAGGCAATCCCTGAGTGCATATGTATTTATGCGTAGGAGCACACATGTGCACATAAACACACGCAGGCATCTAGGTTCGCATGTCACATGATATGTGTGGTCTCTACACACGACCAGGGTTCTCCTCTGCGCTCCCATCGCATGTCTCCCTCCCCAGCTAGGGGCCCCAGCCCTTGGGGCTCTGGGAAAAGGAAGGCAGAGCAGT